TAGCATTTTTACAATATCTGGCAGATTCTTTTGTTCTACGGCTTTGTAATGGAAGTCTACATTACTCGTTCATAGAGGTTGCTGCTCTGTTGGCTCTTGATGCAAACCCTTATATCCCTCAGTCAGTGGGGAATGCAAAGCTTGGTCCCTGCCCTCAGGCAAAACATATGTTCCACTGTAACCTGTGTCCAACAAGGGTGTTTGGAACAGAATAATTGTTTTATGTTTATTAATCACCTGCGGGCAGATGGGTGCCAATAATAAAAACGCAGCTCCTGTCTCAGCACTTAACAGGGTATTAGAGGCACAGCCACCACACCTATATTTTGATGTCTGAAACAGTAAGTGCTTCCATTCAGGCCACAGTTAATACTTTGTTTGATATGCAGTGAAGAAAACATCACACTAGCTCAGCCAATCTGTAATGATGGCTTCTATCAAACAAAAAAAACACAACCCCAAAAAACAGACAGGAAACCTGCAAAAACATTCAAGAGCAGTGGTAAAATACGTTAGAGATGCTGCATATTAAGCTAAAAAAATACATTAATGCAACATGAAGGGTGAGATTTCAATCACAGAAAACTCAGAACATTCAAAGATAAAGGTTTCATTATAGTGTTAAATGTGACTTGCCAAAAGATGACAACTGGGATTTCTTCTCTTTGTGAAAAGTTGGAAATGTTTTTTAAAAAGCTGAGTTAAATTCAGTGCAAAGTTTCAGAAAGTTATAGGCCACTAGGCTCGAAATAAAAGCTGTTGCAGTCAATAAATGAGATAATTTATATACATTCTGTAAGGAATAAAAACTACAAAGCCTAACGAGACTGGAGCTCAACAAAATTCAGATAGCTAAGGATGGGCTAGACAGGAGGGATAGTTTCAAGGTTAAGGCACTGAGCTTTCCCTTAGGGGCAGGCAATTATTTTAGGTGGAGGGCCACTTACTGAGTTTTGGCAAGCCATCAAGGGCTGCAGGCAGCATGGGGCAGATAAATATTAATCTTCTAAAATTTTGAGGGGCCCTGCGGGCCAGGTAGAATGGCCTGGCAAGCTGCATCCAGCCCGCAGGCCACATTTTGCCCACCCCTGCTATACCTGGACCTGGCAGAGGCTTATGTAACTTTGGACAAGTTTCAATCCCCATACTTTAGTTCGCACTCTGTAAAATAAGAATTATTACTTTTCCGCTGTCCATTTAGATTAGCAGCTCTTTGGGGCAGGGCATCATGGTGACATCAAAACGTGCACAATGTACCCTTTACAAAAGTCAAGGCAGTTCAACATAGAGGCTAAGTACAGACAGTCAAAAAGCCCAAGGCTGAATCAATTTAGTCTTTGCAGGTTAGTCTAAGTTATGTAGATTGAACCAATAAGCAAGTGAACAGATATTTCCTTCTGATTCTAGAAATGCAGCCACATGCCTGCAGTGGCCCAGGCCAGAAGCCAGGGGCCCTAGAGTATGTCCCCCTGCTCTGCTGGAGCAGACAGCTTGGACCAAGGCTAGCCCGCCGACCCTGTGATGGGGGGTTTGCAGGAGAGCTGCAAAGCATCCTGGGATGCTGGGGGACTGTTTAAACTTGAAATCTGGAGGGGATCTGGGACAGAAGTTCAATAAACCGATTTAACTGAAATCAGTTAAGTCTGATACTATGTCCACCCAGGTTCATCTTAAACTGGCTTCAGCCATTTTGAAAAGTGGTTGATATGCATTGAACTTCTGGGTGAAGTACAGACATTTGGGGAGGTTAAACTGGGTTCAGAATGGCTGCCTAATTTTAAATTAGCTCATCCTAGTGCCGACCTTACACTTAAAGACCTGGTCTCAGTGACCAGCAATCAGTCTAAACCTGTAACTGTACAGAAGTTCCATGCACACAAGCCAGTCTAAAAATTGCAGAACCCAGTTTAAGATAAACCTGGGTCTATGTAGTATCAAACTTATTTGATTTAGGTTGAACTGGTACATTGAACTTCTATACACTTTCCCTGTGCAGACGTGGGACTGGAAAAACCCAGCCACCGGCCCCAGCCTTGAAACTGCTCTTCTCACAGCACCCCCCAGTACTAGGCTATTTTTTGTCCCCCACCTCCCCCTCAACCAGCCCACCCTCTCAACTCCCCTCCCACAAGCCACTCA